GGAACCTCCTTACCTCTTACCTGCCCTTCTCCAGACACAAATCTCCCTCCCATGTCAGTGCAGGGCTGCCCCTGGGGTCCCTTTGTTGTCACGCCTGACTTTGTTTTACTGCATTGTCCCTATCACCTTTTGGATTCTGTCTTATCTTCTAGAATGTTCCACCAAAAGCAGGAATGTGCGGGTTCTTGCTGCATCCCAGCGTCTAACAGTCCTTGTACATAGCAGGGCTCGGTGTTCACTTGCTAAGTGGGTGAACAGAAAACCTAGATGCTCTCACAAACAAGTTTGAAGCCAGCGATTAAAAACCTGTTTTGCATGGTAAGTCCACTGTAAGCACCTTCTACGGGCCCCTGGCAAACTGGAGGAAGCATGCGGCACTCACTCACAGTCGGCGGGGAGACCTGTTTTCCAGAGGCGTGCCTTCACATCCAGAAGAGCAGGTGTGGTGGGCACCACACTCGACGTTTCATGTCTCCTTGCCAGGCTGGTAATGGCTGTTAGTGAAGCCGTCGCCTCCAGAGCGTAATGCTCAGCCCCTGTTCTCCCCACTGGGACATCCCCTGCAGACAAGCAGAGCTGGGGTAGCCCGGTTGGCGGTGGCTGACTGGCTACAGGACCGTGGCAGGCCGCGAGTCAGCTGGGGGGCGCACCACAGAGGGTTCACTCAACAGCCCAGTTCACCAGGGTCATAGTGCTGGGGCCCAGTCCCACCTCCCAAGGTAGATGGACCACCGGCGCTATAGCCACCAGGGTGGGGAGCCTGTGGAGTCCCTTTCTCTCATGAATGTCACCCCCAGGCATGTCAATTCTGGAGTGGCACCTTTGGCTGCAGGCAGTCTCATGTAACTGAGCAGTCCTCGGGCCCTGCTGCAGGTCACCTGCTCAGCCCCCTGTGACATTAATAACACCAGAACACGTCCCAGAAGGAAGAGAGTTGGCTTAAGCCTGTGTCCTGCTGGGGCCATACCTGGCACTGGGGCTGAGGAAAGGGACAGACAGAAAGCGTCCCTTCACATGCTCAGTGTGTGGGTGTGGGTGTGGGTGTGGGGCATCTAGGGTGTGACAGGTGGAGCCTGCCGGAAGGTTAGGGTTGTGGGCCTGGGTCCCCACTCCCTCCTGGGCACTCAGAGGGTCTAGTTCACTGTCGCCCTTTGTGGATGAGCCATCATGAGGGCTTGGTTGTGCTGGTGGGTGAGCGATGCAGTGGGCCCAGGCCCTGGTAATGGGAGCACTGGCCTCCACCGCGGCCCTCCACTTCCAAATTGGTCTCAGAATAGCACTACCTGGGGCTTCCCCTGGCAGGGTACCAGGAGGCAGTGGGTGACCTCAGATGGAGAAAGACAAGCCTTTGTCCTGGGGGTCGGTGTTCCTGAGAAGGGGAGTGGAGAGAGGTTGGTGGGTGCGAGTGGACCTGAGCGGAGACCAGCAGCCCCAGGCTGCACAGGCTGCAGATGCTGGGTGGGAAGCCAGGGGCTGGCACTACCAGAAGTCCTTGTCGCTCAGGGACTTCACTTGTTATGAGGCTGGGAGGGCTCCCTGGGACAGTGTGAGGCATGGACCATGGGGGCGCGGGGCACAAAGCTTGCGGGGCTGGGGGAGCAAAGTTCTGCCCCCCTGAAGCTATAATGTTCGACGCAGCCCCTGGGCAGAGCAGCTGTCACTCCTGCTGTGCAGATGGGAGCCTGGCCCTGGACTCAGCAGGCAGAGCGAGTCACAGAAGCAGCCCGAGCGGCCTCGAGCTTGGTCAACCTGCCTCCCTGGCTCAGGGCTCATTGGGGTGGGGCGGGGCCTCGTTATTGTTTAAAGGCCTAAAAATACCACAGGCTATAAATCAGGGTGTTCTTTAAGGCTTGCGGGCACTGCCCCAAGTGTGCAAGGGAAGGAGTCTGCTCACCACCTGGGCCTGATGACAGCTGATGCTGGAGCCTGGCGAGCTCACAAGCAATGTTACCAAGGGTGAACGTGGCCTCTTGGGCCACGGTCGGACCTGAGCTGGGGGTCATCCGGCTGAGGGTGACCAGCACTCCCTACCACCTCCACGGTGCCACACCAACTCTGCCCTGTGCACAGGGCCTGTGATGGAGATCTCTGGCCACCAAGTGGCTTTCTTCAGGCATGACCTCAGGTAGTAGGAATGCACGGAGCTACGCGGGCGCCATCTGGTTCCGATTACCCATGCTCTGGTGCAGGGAAACCTCATCTGTGTCTCGGCTCCCTGCTCGCCGGGGAGATTGATTTGGCCTCATTAGAGACTTCAGGGAGAGGACACAAGGTGAGGCGCATCTGGGTCCACGTGGCCCACACGTTGGAGGCAGGCGGCTGCACAGGAGACAGTGGGGCCTTCAGGCCCATGGTGAAGTGGCTCGTGACTGACACTCCGTGAGCGGTAAGGGAGCATGGTGGTTCACCTGCTTTGGGGGTGTTAGGGATGCTTTGAGGTGCTTGTCTTGGCAAAGTACAGACTGCAGCGCTTCCTTGCCAAGGCCCGGGCTGTGGGGAACCTGAGGCCTCCTGGGCCTTCGAGGCCAACTTCAGCGGGAGAACACACAGCTGGGCTCTCCTTCCGGTCTCTCCCAGGGCCGCTGCTGCCGCCTTGCACTGCCGCCCTGGAGCGCGCTGAAGGGAAGGAGCCTGTCCTGCCCCATCTTGAAAGCTTTTCCCTCCTTTGAAGTGGACCCTGTTGCAGAGGCCCCTTGCTGAGCACCCCCACCCCCCCCACCCCACCCCACACGCACATCATGCCGACCACGTTCCCTCTGCAGTGCCTGGTCCCCCTTCTTTAACTTTTAAATTCATCGATACAGTAAAACCAGCTCGGGACTAGGACACACCCCATAAATTTAAGTTTTAACTTCCAGCAGCTGTTTCCCAAACAAGCTTGGGGAGGTCGAATGGACTGGGCCAGGCCAGCAGAGGAACCCTGGTGGTGTGTGTGTAGGGGGGGTGGTGTCAAGCCCCCCAAGAAGGATGCCGAGGAGAGCTGCATTGGTCAGACTAACAAAGCCCAGGCTGCAGTGAGGGCAGAGGCCCCCAGAGAAGTGGCCACTTCCTGATCTCTGCCAGGTTCCAGGAGCAGGAGGGCTCATGGAATCCCCTGGGCCGGCCCCCTGTGCAAGACGGATGCTCACGTTCACGACTGCTGAGGTCACAGTGGCCTCCCCAAGTGGGGCCTGCTCCCTAAGACCCAGGGCTTGGTCCCAGGGCTTCTCAGACGGTGAGGGCTCGCTGGTGTACCTGCTCAGGCTGACCTGGGGCAGAGCAGTGAGCCTGTGGAGATTCACCTTCCCTGGACTGCGACCACCGCCAGAGTCCTCACACAGGTCCCACCTCCAGCCCCTGCTGGGCTTGTCTCTCACTCCCTGGGCTTCTGTCCAGGGAGAGCAACAGCAGGGAAGCCAAGCCAGGCTCACTCCAGGGCCATTGCCAAGCTCAGTTACTGCTTGCCATAATCCCCGTTCTGGTCTTGACCTCCATTTGCAGGGCAGCCAAGTGACCTGCTTCTGGCTCCACCTCTGCCAAGCACTTCAAGCAGGCTCCAGTGGCCCTGAGCCTCTAGACTGCCTTTGGTTTCTGGGTACCATGTTCTCTGGAGCCCCCCGCCCCCCATTGCAACGCCCCTGCCTCCTGAGCCACACCTGGGTCTGGCTGTCCCTGCGTGGAGCTCACTCAGAGCACGGTAACACCTGCAGGGCCCTGATGGCCACTTGGCAACTCCGTCAGCATCTACCCCTTCCCAGCAGTTTTGGACTTTCTCACAGCACACCTCTCCCCAGCCCAGTCCTGTGCTCAGGGACACTGGCCGTTCCCAGTCAGGATGGGCCTCGCTGGTCAAAGGGCAACCCCTTCCCTGGCAGGGGGTGCCCAGGCTGAGCTAGTGTGAGCAGCTGCCAGGGCGTCCCTCTCAGAAGCTGAGGGCTGTGGCCCTGCAGGGTAGAAGGTGGACCTTCCAGGTGGAGGAGGGCAGCTCTAGGGCCTGGGCAGTAGGCTGAGCCTGGGCCCCAGCTGCGCAGGTGTCTCTCCAGGGAGAGGAAAGAAAGCCCATGAGAGACATCGGGAGGCGGGGCTTGCCACTGGCCCTGCTGGCAGCCACTCTGAAGGCACACCTGCCCCCCTCCCTTGCCCCCACAGGGCTCATTAACGAAGCTGGTCAAGGCTGGGCATTCGTAAGCTCCCTCAGGAGCCTCCTTCACCCTCAGAAGCCAGTCTGTATTCAGGTCGCTTTCTGGGGGCCGGAAGGCAGAGAACACACTCTTCACACCTCATCTTCTGTGGGTTGAGACTCCGCCCTCCCCCACCCTGCCTCACCAGGAGCTCACCAGAGCCAGGCCTAAACAGAAGACCACCATCCCACACACTGGACTCCATCACGCCCCCCCCCACCCCGACCATGGGACCCAGAGTCAGGCGAGCACTGTATGGGGAGTGGTGGGGCCAGTGTGCCATGCCAAGTGAGATGGTGGGGTGGGGTGGGGTGGGGGTGGCAGGGGAAGTTTGTGCAGCCCCAAGCATCTGCTCCCAACAGCCCCA